CACACGCGAAACTGGTATATGTACCTAGATAATAAATAAAACACGATCGTTGACGCACAGTATAAAATGATTTCGTTTCCCACCAGATTATATTGTTTGGAAATAGCAAGGTGGACGCAAGCAAATGCAACTATTAGGTGGATGACAGTTCGTATACGTTCTCGTTAGTCGCAACAATTTCATTGTAATTTTATTCTAGTACGTATTGATAGTTGTTTGTTGGATGTTTTGCAAATGTATTAAAACCGTAGATTAGGGTGTGAATGGTTAGAACATCCATGCCCTCGCACCCTTTCGCAGTTTGTCGGAATAAACAGAGAAGGTTCAGTAAATTCGGAATGCTAGATTCGTACAAATTTTAATTCAACCTAAAGTTTTTAATGCATTATTCATTGCAAGTCGCGGTGAAACAGTTCAATTATGCGGTCGGCTTTGCCGGTTGACGGTACACAATTTATAGAAAAATACTGGGAACGAAATGGCTGCATCTCCTAAATTACGCCGTCAGACAATCCAATCCAACGCAGCGATAACGTCGCGCTGCGCCGTCACAATGCATTGGTATAACCTTTCCTTTCCCCAAACTCTTTGGATTCTGTCCCTTAGGAGTTTAATTAATTTGGTCAAAGATATATTTTGTCGTGGTTAGCAAATAACCTAAGACGGTGTTTTATAGAAATGAAATGGGTACCCAGATCAGAACAGTAGTAATAATAATAACTATAATGACATATAACGAAACCATACATTTCTAATTAAACAATTTTATATTTTAAGTGAGACTCGTCCTGTGTGCTCTATTTTTTTGTAATTATTCAATACGTCTCACATCGAACAAAATAATTCGAAGTGGTCTGTGTTCTGTCGAAACTGCCAGACGCGAATCGCGATTTCGATCTTTTTGGATCTCATCAGCGCATCGCAGGCAGCTCCGACAGAACACAGACCAACCCTTACCTGCTGTCTTAACAGCCCGTTTTAGAAAATACCACAAATGGCGCAGTAAACGCCATCTGTAGCACGATGCTACATTTTAGGATTACCTATGCTCCAGCAAGGTCCATTTAAAAATATGGATATCTACTTGCTGAAATTGCACATTTTTAAATGGACCTTGCTGGAGCATAGGTAATCCTAAAATGTAGCATCATACTGCAGATGGCGCTCACCACGCAATTTGTGGTATTTTCTAAAACGTCTCACATGTTTTAAGATTGTTACCACCTTTTTAGTTCATCAATTCTGTTCAATGGAAACACCTCAAATTATTTTTACTTTTATTGAAATACAACTAGTGGAAAGATATTCTTACGGCATTTGTTCCACGATCTACCCCACTCACTTATTCTCGTGCTCGTATAATATAAACACCAAAACGTGTCTTGATACAAGTAAACGTAGTTTTAAGTGACAAATAATTTTTTTCTTCTAATATGTCTTTGTTTCCCTGAATGATCATTTTACTTAGGGAACGTGTCAATACTACGTGAACTATTTTTTACAGTGTTTTATCCCCCCCTCGGTGACCACTCGTAGTATGTAATCAAGACCCCCTCCCCCTCTAGTTTTCACACAGTAATTCATAAATATGCTTTTAATTATTTTTTTTGTAAACAGAAAGTCTTGAAGATAGCTCGAAAAGTGCGAGATTTTTCTAGACTATAATATCTAAGTGACGAAATGACCAAGTGTGGTATTTTGGAAGACCCCTCTCCCCTCCCCGTCACCTGAGTCCATACCCATACATATATTACTCCTCACCCTTGTTCTTCTAGTTTTATATTCCAATATCGAAAATAATCCAGGATATACAAACGTAGGAATTATATGTAAAATTGATTAAAAAGAAATATTTGTTGAATACCGAATTACCATATGCATTAATAGTTTTCGTTCTAGTGTCATAGATAGTTTCCAGTATTACATAGTTTCATTTATTCAGCAGTGCATGAAATTAAATTGAAGCAGCCTTAATCTAAACTAAATGTTGCATTGAGATTGGATAGGAACTAGCGTGAGAGGGTAGTCGTGACCTGAAAAGGAATCTACATGTTATGCAAATATTCCAATGAACATCACATATAAAACTTCGAAAACTGTATCAAACGAAGATTCAACCGAATGCCGGAGTACATACAATAAATTAATATTACTTTCTGAAAATAAACCGGCAGTAAATTAGCTTGGCTCATTTCAGTTTCAATTGAACGATAGGCTTCATACTAAATATTTATTATTAGGTAACCTATATTTCGCCACACTGGGACTTCATCAAAAATTTTCAAGACTCATAGTCGTGGTAATAACTATTACGATATGCTGTAAAATTATTGAGAGATTACGGTTACGTCATCGACATAGTCTATACGAAACAATCCAAGAAGTAACTGCTGAAGTCAGAAGTAAGGGAGCCGTGATGTAGGTAATGTAATATCTATACAATAAGTAATTGTAGCAGCAAGTTTTTTCACAAAAATTCCATTTTCATCTAGAAAATTATATTTGAAGACCATACTGCAAATATCAAGTAATTCGAAATTCTTTTGCATAGGTTTTCTATTAAATGTTATAAAACAAAACAGCAAAGACTGTTAAAATTAAGAAGTGGTAGTCTAAATGATTTTTTGGTTTGTTAATTTTGTTAATTTCTGTACTGCTTCGGTTCTAAAAGGCAAGGTCGGTTGAAATTCCTCACGTTTCAGTAGCAGGAGTGGCGAACTTCTTCAAAGAATCTTCCACTTCCAGTGCTGGATGTCGACTGAAACTCCAACGGCCGACGCCCTTTAGACCAGAATCAGTCGAGAATCAGTATTGCATAGTTCACCAACTGGCCGCGAAAACCTTTATCAATTTATTTTGAAATTGTTATGAAAATATATACAAATATTCTGCTCAACTATTTTTTAAAAGAAATTGTTTTTACTCGTGAACTAGTCGTACCTATCGATACAGATTACCGAATTAAAAATACACAGAGTATACCTACACCCGTTAGATTTAGGAACATCATTTTTTCTTGATTTTTCTCATTTTAGAAGTTCCTTCTTTAAAGCATAACAACCTTATTCTCGTCTTAGTCTGCAGGAAATACAGATATCTTTACGATCGATAATTATTGTCGCCGCTTTTTATGCTGACATGCTGATTTTAATGAAGTATCTGCTAGTACACTTATGAAATATGGCCTCCTCTCTTTTAAAACGTACAAAGTGTCTATATTGAGTACATATGTATATGTACAATAAAGGCGAAATGAAAATCGAGCATAGGGATATTTTATTACATGCAATCATCAAAGGATGGTATCATCTTTTGAAAAATGTGATGATGTATAAAAAATTCGTACAAATACTTACAGCCTTATTTCCATATAAACCATAAAGTAATACCTAAAGTTCTACAAATACGATTCATAGCCTTTAAAGGGTATTATGCCTTGTTCAAAAGATTTTCACCTGCTTCTCTGAAAACTGTCCTGAACTAACCCAACTTAAAAGTCCTTTAAACAAAGCGTAGCACCTCTCAAAGGCTTTAAATTGCATTTATTGGCCCGGTACTACTCTATTATTTATATGAGAAGAGCTAAAGATACTTATACGCATTTTCCTATACCAACCCCCTCGTATTATTGAAATGATACTCAATTTCTGGGTGGAATAAATGTCTTGAATACAATGATAAAATTGGTACACAATTTCTAAGTTTCTATTTTTAATATTCTTCATTAAATGAAATTCCTATGATTTAAAATTATTTGCACTAAATCGATTATATCAAAAGTTAATTGTAGAGACAGATAAATTAGTAAATACTGTATACGTATTATTATAAAAACAGATTGAATTAATTTCAAGTAGGTATTGTATAAATACAAACAATAGGTATCCAATGTTTATTCTCTTATTGTGCTATGAAATTTTGTAACTAATTTGCATCAAAATCTAATGTCATTACAGTTTTATCAGTTGCTTTTTGTTACTGTGCTTTGTCTTCGATAACAATAATATATTTCTTCTCATATTTGGTGGCAATTCAGTTTGTTGTATGTTTTACGCCTTGTTTCGCATGATTATCGCATTTCTGGTAGGTGAAAAAGGGGAATACCATATAGAATTGTCTTCACCTTCTTGACGAGCATACCAACACTACTTCATTAGTTGAACTCGCGTATTGTCGCTAAAAATTTTTGACGATAATATAATCACTGATGAAAATAGAGAAAGAACGGATGTAGTTTCCTATCACAGCTTTACCATAAAATATTCCTTCTTCGACATCCTTAAAGGCAGTTACAAGTAATTCTTTCGCTTTCTCCTATTTTTAACAAGCTGTTCTATAAATCCGACCAAGCCAACTGTCTTAAAATGCAACTACTAAATTCGAATAAATCTTTCACTATCGAAGTTTACAAGAAGCTTAGAATAATAAAAGAAATCGATTCCAGACTTTTCCTCGATCCAAAATGTTACTGATGCACTCAATAAAAACAACTGAACATTTGAAAACCTACTTCAACATCAATTTCAACTTCAACACAAACATAAGGGCAAAACTAAAGAAATTTATTTACAAATATCCAAAAAAAAGTTTCAGAGCCATATTTTTTGAAGTTATAAAAATAAGGGGAGTAAATTATTACCTTGTATTACATCAGTTAAATCGCTCGTTTAATAAACCTCCACTTTCCTCTTCATATTAAACGTTTATATAAATATATAACCTGTACATCAGGCACTTTGAATTTTTTTGGGTTAAATTCAATGATTAATTATTTGAATTAACTTCAACTACTACGGACAACCTCAAAGTAATAATGAAAAATTGTCGCTACTGTTACTCTGCAAGAAATGCTTTTGTAATTTAACAGAAGACTCAATAAATATCGGAAATTTAGTATCTCCTTTTAAAAAGGAATCAAGGTTTTATGCACTTATATTGGACCATTAACATGTTATCTAAACTTGCTTGAGTGGTTTGCGCTAGTTTACAAAATCCCTTACCTTAACTTTTTTATCAGGTGGTTTTTCCAACAGGCACATGGTCTGTGTAGGTCCGTCCATTTTCGCCATATCTATGTATGTATCGCTGCCTCGCTTTCCTAAGTTTTCCCGAGGCACCGCCTCTTGACCCGTCTCTTTCTCATCTTCGCAACCGCTCTCTGAAATTAAAACATAACAAATTGGAAAACAATAAATTAAATTTCTTAAAACTACAGCTTTTTTGTATCATTTTGCAATTCTAAAAATAGTACCTACGTTTAATTTTTACGAATAAAACTTAAAATTTCTAAATATTACTTCGAGGTATGGTTTTCTTCTATTCGATGCACCAATAAAGATGAATCCACTTAAATTTTTTATGTTACTATATTTATGTTCTTAAAAACGTATTTTAAACATTGTTCCTGTTTGGCCAATAAATTTTGGATTTTTGTCAAAATCCACCTTCGAGTTTTTAATTCCTTAACTTTAGGTCTGTTTCTTTTTTAATAAACTAATTTTTAGTTTTTTTCCATTAAAAGCTGTATTCAGACTTAATGGAAATGCACAATTTTAATTTACATTATTTTATTGATTTTGCAATAATTATTTTGACTCATACTGCCTTCTTTAAGTTAAATTTCTTTACCTGAAGAAGACGTTATATGTTTTCAAAAGTAATTATTGTGACCACATTAGATGAGGTAGTCGCATACAAAGATTCTTGCCCATTTAATAATAATTAAATTAATGTATTATATTTTTGTATTTATTATTATTTTTTTCAGTTACTTAAGTTTTTACTGACAATTTTTCAAGCAATTGTATCCTAAAATAATTTTGTAGTTATATCTGTCACATCTAAGCAACATTTTTGTCAAAACGGTCGATTTTTCTTATGATTAAAATGTTTTAATTTATAAGACCTACTTTTACTTTTGCCGCAGCAATGTGGCATTTGTGCTTTGAACTGGACTTATCCCAAAATAACCGTTTTCACTTTTACTCATTCGTCGGCAAAATGAATTCATTATCTCAATACACTAAAACAATCGACAACCGACCCATTTCATACACTAACGAAATGAATTTCGCTGGTCGACTGATTTTTTTTTGTGGTGTTCCGTTACTTTTTAACTTCGCGCTTCAACTAAATCATTCCGATGGCCGAATTTTCTGCAAATGCTTCAGATCAAACACAAATCAGTTTATGTTTGCAAGTTTGTGAAAATATACAAAGCCAATAACTCCAGATTCTGGATATTCTAAACTGAACACTTAAATACTTAGATATATGTATGCTTATATATCTACTTGTATGATTTATGGATATGAGTTCAAATAAATTGGACGGAAACTAAAACATTATTAATAACTTTTGGGAAAGGACGATCTGTAATATTTAATTTTCAAAACGTATGGTTTACTACCTGAAAGGATCATATTTCTGTTTATTCCGATCCACTAGAAAATTTTGTGTCTCAGAGACATTATTGTAGTTATTAATTAATTAATTTCGCTGGCAATCAATAGCTCTGATTTGATTGGTATTTTGTGTGTAATACTATTTATTAGAGCAGTCAAATTGTAGAGCAAAATGGTAAATTAAGATTTTACATAAGCTGGACGCCGAAATATGTGTTTGATATCAAAGAGCATCAAGACCTATAAATCTCAAGTAAATTTGATCACAAACAAAAATGCTCCATACATATTTTGCCACCCCTTTTCACCCCTTAGGGGTTGAATTTCGAAATATTCATATTCCTTGCATGCATCATAAAGGAAACCTTGTGTGAAATTCAATTTGATTCAGATGCTGTCCTAATTCGGGCTTAAAGACCGTCTTCGTTCGGAGTTGCTTCCTAATTAACGTTTCGCTAGGTCTACATCCAACATCAGAGATGGAAGAATCTCTGGAGAAGCTCGCCACTCGTGCTAGCGAAACGTTAGGGAGCAGCTCGAACCGATGACGGCTTTTAAACCCTAAACAGGACAACACTGGCCGCGAAAACGTTTACCAATTTGTCCACTTCTGACAATTCCGATCAATAACAAATTAAAACGTCTCTTTCACGTTAAATAAGCCAAAAGATCAGCATTCATTTGACATTGTTAATGACAATGTGCCTATTACTGGTTGTAAAGAGAATAGCGAAGTCTGTTTTAATTTACAACTAAGTACTGATTACCGAATAAATAGATTAACCAGCAAATTGAGGAATTAATTATTATCTATTCTAATTGTATTCTCAAAACACTTTCTTGAAACGTTCAAAATTTTGTTTTACTTATTAATTTCCTTCTTATTAGAAAACCGTACTCTTTTCAAATGGTGATTTAGGCATAGGTTCTTTTATTTGATTAATTTCTTTGTGTAGATTAGTAGCAGTAACGATTCGCCCTCATTAGAAAATAGACTGATTGACTACTTGTTAATAAAAACAAACAATAATGTCATTTAAACAATGGAGTAGTCGGACAGCGGTGTTGAATTTTACGAAATCTTTTTTAGTTTCATTTATTCACTATGCTTCTGGCAGGGCATTCGCTGACCTTTTCATGTTTTTAACAAAGGAAATTCACCAAGCTTTTACGATTTATAACTGCGCGTTCAAAGAAAAGATTCAGCTCAAGATTCTTTGACTTCAAACCTGACTTAGTTACGCATGTTGAAACGTTTGAAGGCTTAGTTTGCTAAGGGTAAATTTTTGTCGAATTCTAAAAACACAGGTAAAAAGTTGATGTAAAGCAGAAACCTATTTACATGATCTAGCACGTGATTACAAGAAATTCCAATATATGAGTATTTCACTAAAGTATTCACAGTAAAATTGAAGCTTAACATAGTAATAGTGATACTATCTTCATCTTTGTCTGATAGTTCAGGTGCATTAAAAGACTTTGAGAAGAGTTTTTTTACATAACATCAATTTACTTTCCATCAACAGCTTAAAATAAAAAGAGGTAGAATATGCATCTTTATTTTATGTTTCCTCCCATTGAGAGCCTTTAAACGTATACTTGCAGGTATCATTTTTCACAAAATCATGCTTTATTTATTCATAAAGACTGCTTCATTTGTATAATCCGCTTAGTTACTATAAACAGGTAGATTGTCTATTTTGGATTAGTGAAAGTAGTTCCGGTTTTATTCCGACTATTATTACCAACTTTGTCATCACACATCTAAGTTGTTTTACAAACCGCATCCCAGAATTTAATTAGGGCTGGAATTTGCGGCATGATCGTAAACCACTGCATAATGAATCCGGTCGCAATAAATTACTTCGTGCAATAAAAACGCAATTATTTTAGGAATACTGGATGAATCGTTTGAACATAAATTCGTACCTAGGTACAATGTACATGCGCAAATATCTATTTATAGACTTAGTTCGCTATCATTACCACATTACAATTAATTGTAAAAATATTTTCCGGTTCAAAATAGAACATACTATGGGAAATTTTAAAATGCAAGCTTTGGATAAGTTCTAAATATTAAACAAAGTTGACGACGGGGTTGTGCTGCAGCTATCATCTTAGAAAATTTTTTTTTAATAGATAAATACCAGTGTGCTTTTTTTTTAAGTTAGGTTACCTATGTTTTGTTATTTAAGTCAGCTCTTTTTCGTTATGTTTGAGTAGTCTAAGTAAACCGCTATTGTCTGTGATTCTCATAAGTACTTATATTAAAGAGAAAAATAATCATCCGCATAACCGTATAATTTCCCTAGACAAAAATTTTTCAGTCTCTTAGAGTCTTTCAGCGTCTCTGAGAGCGTCTCTCACAGTCTTTCACAGTCTCTCAGTTATTGCCTAGGTGTTTTTATGGATTTCTTACAGTCTCTGATGAGAGACTCGAACTATAAAATTGTTAATTCAGAGATTAGAGTCTCTGACAGAGAGACTGAATGAGTAAAACTGAAAAATTGAGAGACTCGAGTCTCTCGTAGAAAGACTGGGATCTCTGAAATATGTTGAACTTAGAAAATTTTAACCATGTCTATCGACCACTTATTGAGAGATTCGAGTCTCTCGTTCAGAGACTGGATACGAAATGAGGATCTCTCCATGAGCGACTCGAGTCTCTCGTTCAGAGACGCTAATCAGTTTTTTTGACAGTCTCTCTCAGCGACACCAGAGAGACTCGATGAGAGACGAAGACTCGAGTCTCGCTTTCAGAGACTCTGAGAAACTGAACATTTTTATCTCGGGTTCTAGTAAAAAAAAGTAAAAATATGAATGAATCATTTTTTGACTCGTTTAAGGAATAAAATTAAATCACTGTGGATAAAGCTCCAGAGCTAAGCATATATTGATAAAATGATAATGATTATATAATTAACTGTTGATTAACTTACCTCCATCCGGCTCATCTTTGTCATAATCTTCTGTCCATTCTGAAAACTAAAAGAAAATTGACATTAGAAAAGGAAATACTGAAACATGAAGACGTTTTATCTAAGAGAACGATCGTCTCTTACGGGAGGTAATAAGAAACTGATTTATTCCGCTATTATACCCACATTTGCCACGATCTCAAGTTCTTTGTCCTAGACGTACGAAAGCCAAAATGTTAACTAAAGTTAAGCAAAGAAATGCAATTTTTCATTCTGATAACCAGCCCAGAGCGGTTCCTTTCTTTCCTTTTTGAAACATTGCACGGGCGATAAGAACATGATTCTTAACTGTTTTTGACTAATAGACAAAAGGGAGGCAGCAACAACGACCCTTTTATCAGAACAATTCCATTATTTTATGGAAACACCCCGATTGAAAAAAAAAAAGGAATTATAACACCACCGAATCGCCTCCAAATAACTGAAATAATCTAAATTACCATCGAAATAGTTCATACAAATTAAAATTATATCCAAAATACTACCCTTTGAAACTCTAAAACTGCTCCCAACTAGCACCACATTAAAAAAGATCCGAAAGAGCCCTCAAACTCCACCTCGCCAGAAAACATACTATAATAGCACCAAAACAGCATCACATACAAAATCAAAATGCGGTACTGTTTTAGTGTTCCATTCGTACACAATCGGCGGTTTAGCCCTGCAAACGGACCTTTTCCGGTAATATTTTAGAGAAATTTATGGAGCTAGTTTTGTCGTAATTCGGTAGAGTGAAATTGTAAAGAATAGCTTTTACTCGGGACAAAGCAGTACTTTTCCCTTTCATTTAAATTTTCACCGAAGTTGTATATTAAACCTTAATAAAAATAATAGATCTTTATAAACCCAATGCGTCTTAACTCATTCTGCTAGAAATTCATAAATTCTATAACCATGCATGTAAACGTCTTGGGTGGATGTCATTTCTATACACATCCTAGGACCAAACTACATTCGACTTAGAATCTCATATGGTATTAAAAAGTTCTATTTGAAAATTCCATTTTCGAATATATTTGACCAAACGTGAACGTGACTCTCCATATACGTAAATAGTAAGTTAAGGATATAGATATATGTAGGTTTGTTATGATGAGAAAACATCCTGCTTGTAAAATTTATATCGTTGACACCTCCTACGATGTTTTTACTATTACAATAATTACGTTATTTTCATGACAACATGCAAACAGTTGTTCCGCTTATCAAATGTTTATCTACTTTATGCTTGTCTGGAAATTGAATATTAATACTGCCATCTGTCACGAAATCTACACACCTTGCGACAATTTAAGCTTCCAAAATATAAATGATTTTAATCAGAAATTTACTGATCGACGTAAAATCAAGTCCAAAGAGGATTAAAAGCTATTAATATTAAAAAAAAGAAAAACAACCGCCAACGTTTCGCCTTAAGTTGTCGAACTTTCTCAAAGCTAGTTTTTGAAGTAAGTAAAGGCGTAAAGCAAATAGAATTTTTTTTGGAAAGGTACAAACCAAAATAACTTAACAGTTGTATAGATAAAAACACTAAATATAACAGCTAACATTCACAGTTAGCAATTGTAGAATTAAAATAATAAATAAATAACTAAATCACCACGTAGTGACAACTGGGTAATGATACACTTAAAAAACCTATTATCAAATTGATTTGAAAGTGATTAGAAAAGATTAGGTCGTAA